AGCATGCTCCCGAAGTCAAGCCTTGGAAAAGTGGGGAGGAGACAAGGGAGTGTGATCCTGACGTCATGCATTGGAGCAGTGGGGAGGAGACAAGGGAGTGTGATCCTGACGTCATGCATTGGAGCAGTGGGGAGGAGACAATGGAATCAGTCCTGGATGCCCGGCAACGGAGGGCGAATAGGCGTAAAGAACAGTTATGCAGTTACAGGAGATAATTGAACTCAGGTGATGGTAATTAGGCTCCTCTCAAGACTATAAAAGGAATGGCTTTCCACAAGTGCGTCGCAGGAATCAACGTATTTACTAGAGCTGGAGAAGTTATCGTGGCTATCTTGGCAGGCTGGATTGCTGTCAAGGTCAGTCTGTGCTGGATTGCTGCCAAGGTCTGGTCTTTGCTGGATTGCTGCCAAGGTCTAGTCTGTATGTTAATAAATCCTTGAAGTATCTTTGTCTCTGCGTGCTTTGGTGTATAAAGAGGGGGGTCAGAACAAAAAGATACACTTCTTTTGATAAGAAAGCTTATTAACATAAACATGCAGTGTGTGAAGGAGGGTAAAGTAGAAGAATCCAATCAAGAGACGTGTCAAGGAACCAATGTGTGATTCATAGGATGTTAACTTCCTTAATTGTAACTATAAAATTTGTGCTTGTGATTGTTCGAGATCTTAGCTCCTTTTGCTACTGAGACCCTTTTGCTGGTGGACTCTAATAAAAGAAACTGAAAATGCCATTCCTCATATCTGGTGGTCTTTGTTGGCTTTGGCACCAGGCTAGGACCCATTTTGGGTACAACAATTGCTTACCAGAGATGCATAGGTGATCATAGATCCTTGGAAGCCAACCTGCAGTGATCCTCCGATTCCCAGAATAACCACCATTAAGAGAAGTCTCTGATATTGAATCTGGGAGGAAGAGAAATAACATTTAAAAAAAAACAAAAAACACCAAAAATCTGTGTTCCTCTCCTTTTTATAGCATGCCAAAAAGTGGTGGGGAAGACCTTCTCTTTCACCAGGCGGGGTGTAGGTGGGGTGGGGTCAAATGCTGCGTTACTGGGGCTCTGGCCATGGGTTATATGATACGTGGTTATTTTTCATCGATTGGATCTGTTTTTACTTTATTTGTTTACCAGATTGATGGGCAGCATAGAAATTCAATAAATATATAAATACATAGAAATAAACTATCACACAAAGACATAAAAAGCAAACACTGATAATGGTAATAATATAATAACACCCCTCCCCCCATCTATGCATCTGGAAGAATCTCCCCAAAGGAAGGGCCGGCTTCTAAGTGGGAGTTAAAGATAAGGGGTATGCTGAACACAGAGGACTTCTGCTGGCCAGGCCAGAGGTTGGGGTTGGGGTGGGGGACAGCAGACAGAACTGGGGCAAGGTGTTTGCACCTTCATCCCACAATGCTGGCTGCCCTTGGACACCCCTCATCTTAGACTGTCCACATTCAGCCCCCGCCCCTTGCCTGAATCTTGCCATGCATTTATGTAGTTTTAAACATTTTGGTTCAAAATAGTCTTTCCCCTCACTTCCCTTTGTGTTAATTTCCTTTGACTGGTCCCTATAAAAAAATCACCTTGAGCAGCAATGGCGAACCTTTTTGGGCGCCTGTGCCAAAAGCGGGGGAAGCGCAAGGGGGTCATATGTGGGCGTGCCATACCCATTATGCTATGCGTGTGACCCCCCTTGCGCATGCATGTGTGCACACCCTGCACATGTACGCCCCCCCTTTTGGCCCGCGATAGATGCGTTTTTTGCCCTCCCCAGGCTTCAGAGGCTTTCAAGGAGCCTGGGGTGGCGAAAACAGCCTCCCCTGGCCTCCCGAGGCTCTTTGCTGTCTCCCGGACTGCGCTAGGGGCGACTAAACAGCCTGTTCTTGGAAATGGAGGCTGTGACCAATGGGCTTGGCTCTGGGCTCTTGCTCCACTTGCCCGGGAGACAGAACACAGGGAGGAATATAATGGCCATTTTGGAGGGAATACAGCACCTTCCACTTACATCCATGGCAGCGGTGCCTGCCGCGCCTTGCCGCCTTCAGAGGCAACAGAGGAAAGCACTCCTTTTGGTGGGATGGCTGAGCTGGTTGCGCCGGGCCCCAAGCCTTGCAATCACCCCACCGAGCGCACAGACTTTGTCTCTATTGCGGCTTGCAAAGGCCTGCGCTTTGGCCAGCCGACGTCCCGGGAGACCCATTTCCTGGCTCTATGTTCCCGACCTGGGTTATGGGGCAACCCCTGGCCATTATCCTCTGCCCCCTACAATGCTGTTGCCACCACTGGCTCTGCCAGGAGTGTTGCCTACTTCCATGCCGCCGCTGCCTCAGATCCAAGTAGTCATTCTGCCTATTCCATCAGATGCACCAGAAGCATCTGCAATCAGTGACTGCCCCGCCCACCTCCCCCATGGCTGCTTCTTCTTCTGACTGCTCCAGAAGCGGCACTGTGACAGCTACTGGGGGCGAGGTGGCGGTGGTGGCAAAGATGGGCAAGGGCTTCCCTCCCTCCCCACCCGAGTGGGCTACTTGCACGGCTCCAGCCTGTGGCTCTGATGAGGATCTGCAGTCCGGAGCGCTGCTGCTTCCAGCCGGGATATATTCTGCCAGGCCCTCGCTGGCGTCTTTATGCAGGTAGCTTGCCTCCCTGCCAGCAGCTTCTCCGGTGTCCCGGCTGGAAGCAGCAGTACAACAGTCGCCGTTACCTGGGGCAAAGGGCTGGCATTGGCGAGAAAGGGCGACCACCTCCCCTTTGTCCCTCCCCCAACAGAGGCTGTTGCGCTTTGCCCTGCCACTCCTTAGCCCTTGGTACCAGGACCCCACCTGGAAACAAAAAGATCATTTTCCTGGCGTGCACATTCGCACTGGGCGGCTCCACCTCTGCTTTCTGGCATGCCAATGTGCGTTAAGATCAGCTGGCTGCTGCGCCCGAATCCAGAAGACAACTGATGATGGCTCTGCATACCAGGAGAAATGACTCTGCGTGCAACTTCTGGCACGCATGCCATAGATTCGCCATCACAGACCTAGAGCCTAGAAGAGTCATAACCCCATTTGAAAACAAGTTTCATTCTTCCACACCCATGCACTGAGAACAATGCTGGAAGATCCTCCTCAGCCAGAGGTGGAATTCAGCAGGTTCTGACCAGTTCTGACCAGTTCTGGAGAACCGATAGTGGAAATTTTGAGTAGTGGGAGAACCGATAAATACTACCTCTGACTGGCCCTGCCATCATCTATTCTCTGCCTCCCAAGTCCCAGCTGATCAGGAGGGAATGGGGATTTTACAGTATCATTCCTCTGCCACACTTACCAAGCCACAGAACATAGTAAAAAATATTGAATCCCACCACTGTCCTTGGCCAATGATTCTGGCAGCACTCACTGCTCCCTTTCTGCTGATATGCAAACCTGTGAGGCCTCCCAAGGGATGGGGGAGAAGGAAACTCCCCTCAGGATTGCCAGGAGTGATTATTGATCTGGAATCTCCAAAAAGAGCTTTCGCAGCTGGGGAGGGGGCAATGACTGAAGGAAAGGCTTCTTGAGCTTGATAACCATCGTTCTGACTTCCCAGAAGAAGACTTGGTCCTCTGAGAAGGGAGTGAAAGCTTTGAAAAGATGAAGAGCCTAGTTTACAACCTGCAGTGGCTCAAGGCACCCATTTTGTGATATAAACCCAGCCAGAGTAAATTGGGGGAAATGGAACTTTTGAAGAACAAAGTCAGAATTTGACCTTGGGAGGCCCTTTGAATATCATATAGCTCAGGGCTCCCCAAACTCTTCACTCATCAATAGCTTCATAAAGGTTCAGATTGCTCATCATCCCCAACCAAGTATTAATTTTAAAAAATAATTTAATAAATACTACTTTAACTAATAGCAACTAAAATGATTAAAACCCTGGAAACAAAAACACATGAAGAATGGTTGCAGGAATTGAATAGGGCTAGTTTAGAGAAAAGAAGGAGTAGGGGGTGACATGATAACATATTCCAATATTTGAGGGGCTGCCACAGAGGAGGAGGTCAACCTACTTTTCAAAGCACCAGAAGGCGAGACAAGAACTGATGGATTCAAGGAGAGAAGAAACCTGGAATTAAGGATAAACTTCCTAACACTGAGGACAATTAACTTGAACAGCTGAACAGCTTGCCTTCAGAAGTTGTGGGTGCTTCATCACTGGAGGTTTTTAAGAAAAGACTGGGCAGCCATTTTTATGGACTAGTAAAGAGTCTCCTCCTTGAGCAGGGGGTTACACCTCCAAGGTCTCTTCCATCTCTAGTCTAATTTTTAAATTTTACTACTACTACTACTACTACTACTACTACTACTACTACTACTACTACTACTACTACTACTACTAAAAAAACAGTGACCCCTGTCAAGAGTCCTATCAACCCATGGGGCCACTTTGAAGAACTCTGATTTAGCCCAACTTCATGCCTGGGCAGAATCCAGGCATGCTGAGTTTTGCATGGATGCAAGATCAGGGAAGATGCCCATGCAGAATGTGCTCCAGGAGGGTCTGAGTGACCTGGAAGTAACTGCTGCTGTGTCTTTAGCAGCCCCTTGGGATGGGATGCCAGGAAGCCTTGTCTGGCTTGTACTCACCACATCCCAGAAGATCACTGCCATCTCGATTGGAGCTCTTCTGGATCTTGTCTCTAATAGAAGGCAGCCCTGGACTTTGTGCTCTTTATTTCATTTCTTGGTGAAATCCCAAATTGCCTGGTTAATGATTCACTATAATGATTTCAAGAACAAAGGATGAAATGGTACATCTTGTCCGCTGGGTTTAGGCTGTCCATAGACTCTGTGACAAAGCATGATGGGAAGAAGAGGCTTCAGAGAGATCTCTTCGGCAGTCATGGTCTGTAGTGGCTGTTTGGATCTCCCCAGCATCACCTTGCTGGAATTTTCAACTTCAAAGGGTGCCATCTCAGTTCCATTGGAACAGACGGAGTGCCACGGAGTGTCAAGAGTCGGACAGAGTTTGACAACTAATACCGCATTATCCTTTTTAACTTTCCAATTTCCACCTCTTTCTGAACATACCAGAGGGAGTTGAGAGGCTGAAGATCTGAGTCCAACTCCCCTGTTTCTCAACATCTTGTCACTCTACAGCATAGGGGCTGTAGATCAGTGGTGGGTATCAAATTTTTTTACTACCGGTTATTTTGTGGGTGTGGCTTGGCAATCATGTGGCCGGGTGCCAGTGGCTTGGTGGTCATTTGACTGGGTGGGCGTGGCCAATTTAGCCATCCATTTTGCCAATTTAGCAGTCCATTAAACAATACATAGCAGCCCCCTTTTCTATTCTTTTTTAATATTTTTTTAATTTTTAATTTAAAACAAATACAACATCCTTCTTTACATGCTATAGAAAGGGTATCAGTTGGTTACAAAAAGACTTTCATGTATCTCTTCCACAGTCAACAAATATAATTCATATTAACTTAAGTATTTTAACTCAAATATTTATACATGTCACCATTATATTTCCATTTTCATTNCATTTCATTTCATTACAAATGTCATATCTTATCATCTTGAGGTTACAATTAAGAGAACTGGACTATTTTTTTTACAAAGCACTTATATGATTAACTGACCGCAAGAAGGGACTGAAGACCATGCAACATCAAGCAGTATTAGAAATTGGATTGTGAAAAAAATGGTATTATTGATTCTCCAAGTGACACGTGAAGCTTCTCTTAGTTATTTGGATTGTCCCCGCTAACAATCCTTTGCCTAAAACACAAAATTGGTTATATAAATAAGAATTTTATAATAATTAGCTTATAAATCAAGACTCAAGAATTGTTATCATACATGAATGTAGTTCTTTTCAGACTGGAATTACATGTAGGAAACTCAGCTAAAAGGGTTTTGCAATGTACCATTGGTATGTCTGTGACCAAAAATAATTTATTCTTGATGTGCTTCAATAGGCAAGTCTCATTTGAAGTATTAGAAGACAAGATTAATGTTAGGTCAAGACTTAGTTGGCATTTCTATAATTAAATTAAACAAACATTCTTGGAAAATTCCAAATTTAACATAGGTAATTGTTTAACCTATTGTTAAACAATTACCAATTACTAACTACTGACAATTGTTTAATGCATTATTATTCATATGGCATATGATATTGAGTAAAAATTAAATATTTCTAATAACGCCTGTTTGATGAAGTGTCTTTGGAAATATTGATGTGCTACCTGTTTCCCATACCACAGGAAGGTATGCCATCCTAGATGCAAATCATGGCCCTCAAGTGTTAACAATTTATTATTTTTAAAATCAATCCATTATTTTACCCAGGTTAGCGTTGCTGCTTCATGGTATAATTCCCATTCTGGTACCCCAAATCCTCCTCTTTCTTTTACATCTTGCAAAAGTTTAAATTTAATCCTGGGTTTCTTCCCTTACCAAATGTATTCTGGTGTTATTTTGTTCAGATTTTTGAGGTACTTTTTATCTAATTTTATGGGGATGTTTTGAAACAGGAATAATAATTTCAGAAGAATGTTCATTTTGATCACTGCAATCCTTCCCATGAAAGAGAGTCTCAGATTTTTCTACCTCTCCAATTCTCCTTTTATATGATTTAATAATTTAACATAGTTGTCCTCTTCGATTGATGTGCACCTTGCCGTTATATAATTTCCTAAATATTTCATTTTCTTTTCAATCTGGATATTTGTTTCCTTGGCCAATTCCTCCTTCTGCTTCTCTGTCATATTTTTGACTATAATTTTTATTTTATCTTTATTGATTTTCAATCTGGCTACCTTCCCATAGTCCTCTA